CAGTACTGCTTTGCGTTTTTTGGCATTTTTGATGTTATTTGCATTAATTATTTCTTTTACTGAGGTTGGAGGATTCTCCATTTTATTGTTTTTAAGCAGTTTATAGCTTTGTTCCCAAATTTGTTTACTAGTTTTGCATTTAAGTGCAAAGTGTTCTATAGTTTGAGTAATGTATGGGCAGCCTGGACAGCTATTATCAGAGTTTTGTACAAAGTGAGTAGTCTGATAACCTAAGGGTAGGGCTCTATGCATTAGTCTCCAAAAAATGTTTTTTTTTATTGTTCTGAATATTTCCAAGTTTCATCCATTCATATGTATTATCTAACTAGGTTTCTTGGCTTGATGTACTATTCTGTGTTGTAGTAAATATTTCATTTTGAAGAAGTTTGGTCATAGTTTTGACTGAGTAGTTGCTTGCTGTCATTGATTTTATTTTGATATTATCTAAGGTTCAGGGCCAGGTGTTGTTCTTTGTAATCAATTCTTCCACTCTTTTCCAAGCTGTTAGATAGGGTTTCTATCTTTCTGGCCACCCTTTTAGCTTAATGTTATTTTGGTTTAGGGCAGCTTTGGGTGTTATTCCTCTTTTGTTTTGAAGATCAGTAGTAATTAGTTCTCTTTCCACATTTGACCAGAAGCTATTTCCAGTTAGTAGCCTTGTCCAAATTGATAATAGTCTTGCATCAAGTAGATCTTTTAGAATAGGAGCTTTTAGGCCTTTTAGCTTTTCATCAGTTTGAAATATTGAGTAGCATAGAAGCATTTTAGATTTATTTTTAATCCATTTAGTGAGAATTGAGCCTATTTCATTAAGTTGAATTCTGCTTGGAGGTAGTAGATAAGCTAGATACCAGATCTTTAATATGAGTAAGGTTTTTGTAACCAGAATTTTTCCTTTAAAAGAAAGATTTCTTGTAGAGAGATGATCAATCTTTTTCTTGATTTTGTTTGTTATCTTATGCCATAGGTCTTTTGCTGGCTTTTCTTCAATGTTAGTTTCATAGCCTAGGATGGTAATTGTGCCATCTTGTTCTTTAGTTTGAAAGTTTTCCATTCCTTGAAGTTGTATTCTTCGAGCATTTTCTGTAAGAAGTATTAGTATCGATTTGTTTTTATTGATTCTTGCATTAGATGCCTTTTTATACTTCTGGGCTAGAAGCATAAAGTTGTTCCAGTCTAAAGCAGTGCTAAAGCCTAGTGTTAGATTATCTGTATAGGCTGCTATCTTGAAAGAGTTTCCTTTAAAACATATAAGTGAGGAGAGAGAGGGTCACCCTGTCTGACTTCTCATTCTACTTTAAAAGGTTCTGAGGTTTTATCAGCATCTCTGATATGAGCTTGCTGTAAGGCAAATAATGTATGAATTACTTGTCAGAATTTATCATCAAAATTCATTTCTTTTAGAACTAGCTGTAGATAGAAATGATTAACTCTGTCAAAAGCTTTTTGTTGATCAAGAAGCAATAGCCAGTATTGTTTGAATTGGTCTACTTGGTTTCTCATAACTGTTAAGATATCAAGAGTTGTATCAGTTATAGATCTGCCTGCAATAAATGCTTGTTGTTCTGGCCTAATCAGTTGGTCACAAAATTTTTCATGAATATTTTAGCATCACTGTTGACTAAGAAGATGGGTCTCTAGTTGTTAATATCTTTCAAGTCATCTGACTTTTTGGGAATATTCTTGTAGAATTCATAAGTTAATCCATCTGACCCAGGAGTTTTGTTGTTAGGCAAGGAGTCAATTATCATGCTAATTTCTTCTTTACTGATGTGTTTTGTTAGCTGATAGTTTTGTGTCTAGTTAACTAAAGGAAGATCTTTTGTTAATTCTTTGGCAGCTTCTATGTCAAATTTCTCTGTTTTGTATATTGTTTGGTATTTGTCTCTAATGTTAGCTAGTACATTGGTAGGGTTCTGTAGAACTGTATTATTAGGTATTTCTATCTTTGCTGTGCAGAAGGTTGTGTGTTTAGCTTTGTAGAGGGAGTAGAAATATTTTGTAGACTTTTCTCCTTCTTCTATCCATTTAGCATTTGACCGAATCTGCCATTTTTCAAAAAGAGATATAACTTTTTCTTGGATTAGTGTTTTCATGTATTCAGCAATAAGTTGAAAATCTTCTAAATCAGAATTATTAGCAATTTGGTTGTTTAGTTTGCATAGTTTTTTGTGTAATGATTGTATCTTTCTTTCTGGTGCTATGTTTGGTTTAAAAGCTCTAACAATTGATTGTAATATGCATTTGTGAAAATCCCAGTTTTGCACTTTTTTTATCTCTTGTAGTTCTTTTATAATTTCAGCTCTCAGTTCTAAGTTATACCAATGTTCTTTTTTGAATCTCCAAAGTGGTGTACAGTATGAATTATTTTTGCCTGAAATTGTACTTTCTACTAGAAGATGGTCTGAATTATCTAATCTAGTAGTAGTTTCAAAGTTGAGGTGACCAGATTCGATTTTGACAAATATGTAGTCTAATCAAGTGGCTATTAATTGATTGTTTTGAGTGTTTTGGTAAAATGTTAAGAAGGGGTTGCTCTTTAAAAAACTTGCTGTGTCTATGTAGTCTTTCATGAGCTCTTTTAGCAGTGTTCTAGAAGAATCATTTTGTGAAGGTGCTTGACTAATGCAGTTAATCTGAGGATCCAGATTGGTGTTAAAATCCCCTGCTATGAAAGTAATAGCACTGTTATCATTAATTGATGTCCAGTTGTTGAAGAATTGACATCTATCATCCCAACTAGAAGGTGCATAGACATTTGTAAGTAGTTTTCCTAGGTTCAGTTCAGTTCAATTTAGGTTCATGAACCAAGTTCATTGAACCTGAACTGAACCTCAAATTTTGCAGA